GAGAGAGAGAGAGAGAGAGACAGCATGAGCGGGGAAGGGTCAGAGAGAGAGGGAGACACAGAATCTGAAGCAGGCTCCAGGCTATGAGCTGTCAGCACAGAGCCCGACGCTGGGCTTGAACCCATGAACTGTGAGATCATGACCTGAGCCAAAGTCGGACGCTTAACCGACTAAGCCACCCAGGCGCCCCTGTACACTGATTGATTCTTAAATGTTGAATCAGCCATATGTTTCTGGCATAACGGTCCCTATGTATTTATGCTTTTTATCTGTTTCTAGACTTTATTTGCCTGCATTTTGTTGATTTTGTGTGTGTGTGTGTCTATTTTCATGGGGGATACGCTTCTGCATTTTTCTTTTCTTGTAATGTTTTTGGCTTTGGTCTCTGAGTAATGTTGGCTTTATAAATTGAGTTGGGAAGTATTCTCTCATCTTGTATTTTCTGGTTGAGTTTGTGCAGAATTGATATTTATTCCTTAAGTGTTTGATAGAATTTGTTATTGAAATGATCTGGGCCTAACTTTTCTTTGTTGTTAGTATTATGTTTTGGTAAGGATTTTAAGATTTTGATAAGACAGATTCACATCTGACTGTTAATTTCTCCTTGTGAGACCTTAGGCAAGTTACTCAATCTCTGAGTAAACTGAGCCTTAGTTTCAGTTTTCAATAACAAATTTTAATAACAAATTCTAATATGAGTGGCTATGAAGACTGAATAAGGATATGTATCAGTTGTTCAACTGTTTATTATCTTATACTTACATTTGTTAACTTAATTCAGATTTTATTATTGTACTCTACTATTTTTGCTGTTTTTTTCAAATTTTCATTTCAATCCTTTAGTTAACATATAATGTAATATCGGTTTCAGGAGTGGCATTTAATGATTTGTCACTTACATATAACATACAATGCACCTCATAGTAAGTGCCCGCCTTAATACCCATCATTCATTTAGCCCACCCCCTACCTATCTCTATCAATACTTAGTTTGTTCTCTATTATTTGGTCTCTTGCAGTTTGCTTTCCTCTCTTTCCTTTTCCCCTTCCCATATGTTCATCTGTTTTGTTTCTTAAATTCCATGTATGAGGAAAATCACATGGTGTTTGTCTTTCTCTGACTGATTTATTTCATTTAGTTTAATATATTCTGACTCCATCCATGTCATTGCAAATGACAAGATTTCATTCTTTTTGATGTCTGAGTAGTAGTACATTGTATATATACACATCTTCTTTATTCTTCCATCAGTCGATGGACACTGGACTCTTTCCATAGTTTGGCTATTGTTGATAATACTACTGTAAACATGGGGGTGCATGTACCACTTCGAAACCATGTTTTTTTTTTTTTTATCCTGTGGGTAAATACTAGTAGTGCAATTGTGGGGTTGTAGGAGAGTTTTATTTTTAACTTTTTGAGGAACTCCATACTATTTACCAGAATGACTGCACTAGTTTGCATTCCCACCAACAGTGTAAGAGGGTTCCCCCTTTCTCTGCATCCTCACCAATATCTGTTGTTTCCTCTGTTGTTAATTTTAGTCGTTCTGATAGATGTGAGGTAATATCTCATCGTGGTTTTGATTTGTATTTCCCTGATGATGAGTGAGGTTGAGCATCTTTTCATGTGTCTGTTAGCCATCTAGAGGTCTTCTTTGGAAAAATGTCTATTCATATCCTCTGCCCATTTCTTAATTGGTTTATTTGGTTTTTTTGGGTGTTGAATTTGATAGATTCTTTACAGATTTTTGGATACTAACCCTTTATCCGATATATCATTTGCAAATATCTTCTCCTAGGCTACCTTTTAGTTTTGCGGATTGTTTCCTTCTCTGTGCAGAAGATTTTTATCTTTTGTGAGGTCCTGTGATGTTTGTTTTTGTTTCCCTTGCCTCCCGCTATGTGTCTAGTAAGTTGTTGTGGCTGAGGTCAAAGAGGTGACTGTCTGGGGCGCCTGGGTGGCTTAGTTGGTTAAGCGTCCGACTTTCGCTTAGGTCATGATCTCGCGGTTCGTGGGTTCGAGCCCCGCGTCGGGCTCTGTGCTGACTGCCAGCTCAGAGCCTGGAGCCCGTTTCAGTCTGTGACTCCCTCTCTCTCTGACCCTCCCCTGCTCATGCTGTCTCTCTCTCTCTCTCA